TGCTGGCTCTGCTGTGCCTGCGCCTCCAGGTGCGTGGGGCGGGGAGCGGGCTCCGGGCACGGCGCGCTGCGCGGCGCCCGCCGCTCGGCTCGGGCTTCCCTTCCCCTCCCCTCCCCTCCTCTCTTCCCTTCCCTTCCCTTCCCTTCCTATCCCCCCTGGTTTCTTCCGAGGGCGAAAGTCCGGTGGTGCTGCCTCCTGCACCCGGCTCCGCTGCTGCTGCACAGCACACGCACGCGGGTATCTCTGTGTGCGCGTGCCGCTAGCCATGTCGATACACACGCACTATATAGACATGCTCTGTATATGTGATACGTGTACGGATACATATAAATATACACTCAAGCACACATGCATGTGTGTGTATATACATACATGCACACAAACCAACTCAAGCACACGTGTCTATATATATGCACACATGCTCAAGCACCCACACACCATATACATAGACACACACATGCTCACATGCGCATATACACTCAAGCACCCGCCCACATACATACATACATACAGATGCACACACGCATGCGTGCACATACACTCAAGCACCCACACATACACTCAAGCACACATGCATACATAGACACGTGCACACATGCATATACACTCAAGCACACACCCACGTGTGTGTGTGTGTACATACATGCCCACCCGCATATATGTGCACGCATGTATGTTTACAAGAGACGCATACAATCTCCTACTTTAGGAGTCCAAAGGTCTTCCCTTGCTTTTATAGCAAGCTTTTAATGGTGGCTGATCAGGCTAGTCAAAGCCCCAAACTAGTAACCCCTTTCCCTTCCTCCCCTCATCCCCCACTTCTTCAGTGAGTGTTTCCCCTGTAGACTTCTGGGGGGGGAACCCCACCTTGATTGATGCAAATCACTGCAGGAAAGCACCCCTCCTAATGTCAGGTAATTGCAATAATCTTTGCAGGAGCTAATTGGCAAGATTACAGGGGGTCGGTCTGTTCTGGGGGCTTTGCTTGCTTGTCTGCTCATCTCCAGTGCACCCCAGAGGTAGCATTTAGGGTGCCACCCCCAAGCCCACTTTATTTTGTTGAAAGGTGGTCCTCTGCATGTTGAGTTGGACTTTCTAAGCCTCCCAAAGATTAAGCCGGGACCTGGAGTCTTTCAGCTGTGTGTGGCTACTCCAGGCTCCTTCTGCAGGGTTCATGGTAGGGGCTGGAGATGAGGATTTATGAACTTTCTTGGGCAAGGCTCAGTAATTTTCAAAAAAACAAAACCAAAACAAACCTGCAAGCTTGTCTCTTCATAAGGTTTGTTCTTCTTTTGTTGTGGTGGTTGTTTAAGAAAAGGTCCCTTTATTTAGACTGGATTTCGCCTCTCTGCAGACTTATTAGAGTTGCCTTCTTTTTCTTTTCTTTTCTTTTCTTTTTTTTTTAAAGAATAACTTTTTTTTTTTTTCTTCTGGTCTTTTTTGGGCTTAACAGGTGATTCTAGGATCGGGACAGTTCGAGTTGGAGATCTTATCCATGCAAAACGTGAACGGTGAACTGCAGAATGGGAATTGCTGCGATGGCACCCGAAACCCAGGGGATAGAAAGTGCACCAGAGACGAGTGCGATACTTATTTTAAAGTTTGCTTGAAGGAGTATCAGTCCCGGGTCACTGCTGGGGGGCCTTGCAGCTTCGGATCCGGATCTACTTCTGTCATCGGAGGGAATACCTTTAATTTAAAATACAACCGGAATAGCGAAAAGAACCGGATTGTTCTGCCTTTCAGTTTCGCCTGGCCGGTAAGTGAATTGCAGTGTGTGCGTGTGTGTGGGTCCTCCGCTTGCAGAGGTATTCAGCTGAGTTTGGTTATCCGCATGGTGGAGTCTTGGCTTAACATCTCTTGAAGTTGGTGTGGGATCCGGGGAAGGGGGGGGCAGGGAGGAAGGAAGGATCTTTGCAGTGGGGAAAGGAATCCCATTTACAAACAAGAGAAACCTGGCAGTCTTTTTCCTCCCTGAGCATAGAGCATTTGAATGCAAATATTGGTAGTATTAGCAAGTCAGATGTGCCTTGAGAAAGTCCTAAATGACTCAGAGAAACAAACCCAGGATTTCTTAACTTCACAACCTGAATAAATCTCCTTAATGTTTACAAGGTCAGAAGTTCAGTTTTTGAGGTGGTTACAATGATCCCATGTGGAAAGTGTATCACTGCTGGCCTCCACTTGCTAGTGTTTGGGGAGGCTTCCTGATGGAAAACTCCAAGGGAAAACTCACTGCAGGGCTTGGTATGGATGGGAACTGCTTCTCTGAGCAAGCTGCCAGCTTCCCTGCGAATCTTGTTATGCTCTTTAGGTCTTGTAGTCTCTGGAAGCTACAGGAAAACAAGAGCCGGGGCTTAATTCTTGATTGCTCAGAAAGAGGTATTACCACTTTATAGGAGAAGTCTTCAAATGAGTCATGAAGCTGCTGCCAAGAGTTGAATAGCTGCTTTTGAAACATCTGTTGTCTAATGGACCTCACTTGTCTGTGCGTGTGCATCTTATGTTGTTGTTCTTCTGTATATGTGACTTAATCTGGCTGTCCTACCTGTTGGGGGCAATATTTTTGAAGTTGGATGCCAAAACTGGGCTCTGAGCCTATTCCCATCCCCTAAAAGCCAAGTGTTGGATCTTTTACTTTTCCCTCGCCTAAAAAAGGTGTTGAGCAAATGCATCTCCCAGTGTCCTTGCTGGGACTTGTCTGCTCGGCATTTCTGAAAATCCGCCTGTCCTAATCTTAGGTGCCTAAGGTCATTCCTGCAAGGGAAGAAAGTAAGTACTGTTAAGTGCATGCTGGGGAGGTGTGACTAATTTTGCAGTCCCTGCCCTTGCCAGTAAGCTTGAAGTGTGTAGCTGTTCCACCCCTTCCAAAACTTGCCCCATCCTATCTGGATAAGGACCAGTAAATCCCTGGGAGGGCTCAGATTGCTTATTGAAGCCGCCCCTCAGCTCCCCCCTTGGACAGTCACTGACTCCATAATCCCAGCCAGCCATGTGTTCCTTGCTGCTTCCTACCTTCCTATGCTGAGGATCAAGTTGTGGTGTCCTATGAACTGAAGCTTGCAGAGGCCCAAGGGTGAAATAAAGTCCACATTTTTAAGGAGATAGAATTACAAAGTACAATAGTATAGCTCACAAAAGTATTCTGTTGGAAGTATAAACCCTGTGTGGGGTTTTGTTTTTTTGTTTTGTTTTTTTTTACTTGAAATGAGATAAAACTGTTATCAAATATGCCATCAAAGGGATAAAGGGTTTTGTAAAAATCTGTGGTATTTGAAGTATTGCTGGTGGCTGTAGTGCTGCTTTTGTCATTTTTATGAAGGGCAGGCGCATCTAGGATATCTTGTCTCACCTTCAGAAACACCTGAGGATGTCTCTTTTTTTTTTTTTTTTTAATTTATAGATCATTTATAATTTGTATATAAATGAGCAGGAGTCAAACAAATTGCAATTAAATAAATATATTTTTATCAGTAATCTCCCTTCTCGCCCCTCCTCACTCCCCCTATTCTAGCAAGCTCATCTGCATTTAGTGAAAGAATTGCTCCCATTGTGCTGTTTGCTGCATCTAATTGAGCAATGGAGTCCCTTCTGTGCATCATCTCTTCTTAATTTTATTTATTTTAATTGTGTTGCTTTACAAGTTTAAAACCCTGTGTTTCTGATGCTGAAATTTTATGACCAGATGCTGCATACTCTCTTGCAGAAAAAACAACTTGTTTGTTCACTTCTTATCCAGCCTGCTTCCTAACTTTCATTTCCACAGGGAGATGGCTTTTACTCACTAGCCATTGAGACTTTTAAAAAGCATTGGAACAAAGGAATATTTAATGTGGCAAAGCTTTTGTTTGCCCGAGAATTAGATATACAAACTGTCTCAGGAGTGCCTAAATTTCTAAAGATAAGAACTGAGCAGTAACATAGTCTCTTTACTGTGACAGCTAATGTGAACCTGACACTGAAATTTGTTATACCCTCTTTTGATTTGCTGCATTTAAAGTTTCTTTTAAACACTTACCGTAATGTGTTCTCAGTGACTTAGTTGTGAGGAAATAGTTTGTCTTCACAAGTGTATATCTGAGGAATCGGTACTTGTACATACCCAGCTGAAAATGCCATCAAAGTTTTATAGAAGCTAGATCTATGAATTTCCAATTGCCATGCAACTTATCTCTGAATATGCATCAGTTCTGTTTTCCTTTTATTTGACGGAGGGCTTTTCTTGGAAATTCCAACTTTAGAATCAGTGACACAAAGAAAATCAAGGCAATAAGAGTCCTCTCCCCCCTCCACCCCCTCCGCCAGTCAATTGCTTCCATATGCCTGGTGTCGAGAATAGTTTTATGCGTAGAACTTTATGCATTAGGCAAAATAGGGAAGGTTTGAATTTGGTCTGGTCATGTTGTTAGGTTTGGCTTGCAACACTTAATGTCAGTTTTGAATTTTTTAAAACTTGCACAGTTCAGTTGTGCAGGGTTTGATGTATACCCTTGTGAGTAATGGGTGTGGGGATAGTGGGCCATAAATTCATTTAAGTGATTGGAGGTTTGAATAAGTTGCTAGGAAACCAGGGCAACGGACCAGCATGAAGGAAATAGAGTGCATCCAGAAAGCTGCACCTGCAATAGCAAGTGAAGGACTTCAGTAAATTGCAGTTTCTCCTTAGAAATATAGCCAGGACTTTAGTTAAGCATGGGCCCATTCTAAGTCGTGTGTGATTTTCTTGATAACTTTGTGAAAGAAGTAAAGCTTTTAGAGGGAAGTCTAAAACCCAGTGCATTTTCATGTTCCATTTGCTAGTTTTTGCAAGCCACTGAGGATAAATTCTGCTGTGGAATGCATCTCGCCATCATAAGTAGTCGGTCAAAATCCAGAGGGATTAATTTAGACTCTCTCAAAACCACACAATTAAAAAAAAAAAAAAAAAAAATGGCAGTGCCTGATATGTCTTCTGTTTCAAAGGTGCCCTGCATTAATTCACTAAGCAAAGTTTAGCACTCAACATTTTTGTTTTTATGCAAAAAGAGATCTCTTGGGGTTCAGTAGTGCTTTAAGCATGAAGCAGGTCAAAGTTGGCAGTCTCCTTGGTATGCACAGCTCAGATTTCAAATAGTTTGTTTTTTCTGAAATTGTGATCCGTTGTTATTTAATAGCGGGCCAGTTGCATCAACCTACCAAATGCATAATAAGGTGCAAAAGCATCTAAACCTGCTACTGTGATATTTAAAGACAACAGTTTTGTATTTCCTGTGTTTATTTTGCCCTTGGGCTAAGAACGTACTAACTGGCTGCCTCTTCAGTGACAAAATTTACTCCTGCTTCTGAAGATTTAAAAGAAGCTCTACGGACTGGCACAGCCTACTCTCCTTTTAGTATCCAGTAACCAGAAAAACAAAGACATGTTTAGCTATGGACTTTGTTTTGCTAATTTTTTTCTTTGTTTTGACAAGAAGCTTCCAAAATATTAGCATACGTCTGATCTAATAATCTTTGAACTTGAGGGGGAAACACTATCAGACTTGCGTAGCTGACACCCTAAGTACTATACGACTAACCAGTAGCTCAGAGGCTTTTTTTTTTCCCCCCCCTGCCCCTAATTAACTTCCTGCAATTGGCAGTAGCAATCTCTAGGCGCTGCCAAAATTCAGATTGCCAGGTAAGCAGTTGTGCTCTGCTCAAAAATCTGTGAAATTGCATGGGTGGTATAGAAGAGATGCGTGTTACATGAAAGCACCTAACTTCAAGTAGTGCAACCAGTACAGGGGATTAATGTTGATATTGGAACACTGTGGGAAACGCTGCATTGGCTGACGCTTAGGACACCACTGGTTTGCATGTGTCTCTTTGTTCAAAACGGAGTGCTTGATTTAAATGACCCTCTGGAACCTAATTGGCATCCAAATGACTCTTTCTTAAGAATGTAAAAGAATGATGCTTTTTTTTTTTAAGGTGCCTCTTTTGCCCTCTAATGGATAGATACGCTCCAATCAGCTTGGGATTTCATGTCCTATCTGAACCCAATTTGCTGTTGCTCAGATTGTCATAGAATGTCTAAAAATACTAGTTTTTTCCCTTCATATCTTTGTTCCTGGTAAAATAAGGACCTGTTCCAGCTATCTTTTAATGGCATCTGGATTGGGCCCAGCATAATTCTCTGTTTAAAAAAAACAAAAACAAAAAAACTCTTGTCTGGGAGCCTTTTCAGACTGCATAAGTTCATCATTGCTATTGTCTTTATGCAGCCAGAAATCCAAGTGTCCACAAACAAATTGCGTGGAACTGATGCTTTTTGATTAACCTAATGAATTTTACCATTGCCATTATGAACTGAAGCTGAGTATGTAAGCACACTAATTCTAAAGCCATTGAAGCTGATAAGGTAGTGTATGTCTTCAGAGTAAAGGCTTGTGTTTTTAATGAGGGTGAGTGCAGTTATTCGAGCTTCAGTCCAGTAGTTTTGAATGCTGTACTGTACCTGCTTGCTGCTTTCACTTCAGTTCTTTAATTTGCTTCCATAGCCTGTAAACCACACTAAGGAAAATGGAGCTGGTTTTAAAAATCCTGAATTCCCACTTTTGGGTGGCGGTTTCACATACAATAATTCTGAGGTGGTTTTGTAAACTCTGTTCAACTCATTAACCTAAATGTGTCTTAAAGATGAGAGGGGGGAGATGTCAAAATCAAGTTGAGTTTTTTCTTCCCTTAACTGCATGGAACTCATGGTTCTGTGGTCACTGTTCTACAGCATAAATTACATTC